TATATTTTTGAACCACGTCCGCCGATTATTTTGGGAATTAATTCGAGTCATTTCATCAAGAAAACGAAAGTAATCTCCGCCGACAAAAAGCTCCGCCGTGGTAAAATCTATCACCACCACTTCATCTTTAAGCTCATACCCAGACATGCAAGAACACCAACAGCACTAATCTTTTCGGAAGAGATGAAAATTCACAATTTTACGATTTTGGCAATGCTTTATGCTTCGATTCTAAATTCTTGGTTTATCTCCATTACGTATTGTTTACGTCTTCCTCGTAGAATCCTTTTAAAAAAATGAGAGACGTAAGAGAAGAAAACGACAATGCGGTGGGTGATGGCGGCTACAGACGAGATCCAATCGGTGGTCGTTTGTCGTCTGCACATCATGTGTTCGATTATATGCCTCAACCAGCCCTATCAACTAATCAATTCAATCAAATCCCAATGTTTGATTTGAATTCTGATACAATGTATCATTTGTTGTCTCCATCGATGGCTTCTCAATTACTGACATATGTGATGATGTCATGATCTGCAGCCTAAATAACGATGTTTCTTAAGTTGATTTTTCACCCATTTTATATTGTAATAATCGGAGTCTGAGTTCCCTACTTCAACAAAAAGAATCGTTTCCATTTTCATTTTCGATCATTCTCATTTCTCCCTCAACTAACATGATCATATCCTTTTGAGAAGAATCAATTTCTAGACATTTTTTGACAGCTGAATTGGGGTTTTAATTTGTATGAAATGGGTGGCAATGAATTTAAGAAGCCACTTTTGAATAAGGTATTCTATAAAAATTGTCCTGGTTGTAATGTGGATCAGTATAAAGAGCTGCAAACAGGGTATCCGATAAAGGAAGTGTTATGTATATGGTTCCTTGTGCTCTCTACTGGTAAGCAACTGTCATGTCTAACTGTTTATTTAACTAATTTTTAGTTTATAAACTAATTTATCAATAAAGCTATCCCAAGCTAATTTATCAAAAAAAAAAAAACTTGCTTACATGCTATGATAAGTATTTTTGTAGTCTTAACAAACGCTAATTACAATAAGTTAATTTATTTCTGCCAAACAAAACCTTATACTAGGGAAGTGATGTTTAGTCGTAAATAATTATTCAATGTTACTCGAATGCTACATGAAATAGTAGTGAAAATGTGTGTTTTAATAATAACGCATGTCTGGTATCATGAAATTAGTTGGAAGATAAAAAAGAATGATAACTTTGAATGTTAAGCACAAAATTTGGAAAAAAAAAATATTATATTATATTTTATTTTGAATATGGCCAAAATCGTAATAAAAGAAGAACCCTTTTTGTAAAGAGATTATTTTCTAAGAACAAAAGAAAATGACATAAAAGGGTGATAATTTTTGCACTTCACTCTAAAAATATTTTAAATCAACATTTTTCACAGTAAATGATATGGAATATTACATTTACAATTTTTGTGAAATCATTAGTCAATCCATCGTTACTAAATTTGAATTTGAATTTTAAAATGACATATTTGTTAAAGCTTGTCAAATTAAATATGTTACAAGAATATTATCTTTAACATAACATTAAAGTTAGAATACTACGTAATAAAATATCTAAATATAGAATCTTTTAATAAAAAATAGGGAAAAATCACATGTTTTGGGCCACTCTTTAACAATAGGTTTTGTGTGTGTATTTTAGACTTTTGGTGAAAGAAACGTGACATGGGTTTGAAACGTGTTGTTGTTTTCATTTTCTTCCTTGACTAATGACTAAACCAATTTCTTATTAGGAAGAATTGTTTCAATTCAATGTACGTGTATTATTCTGCTTATGTTTAATATTGATACCAAAAATAAGTTGCTACCTAAAAGTTTGGTTTTTCTTTTCGGTTTTTATCGCAACTCCAAAAAGGTTGAATTCGGAAACCTAATCGCCCTACATTGAACAATTGTATGTACACTATAAGCGTGTTCGGCACATAGTTTTTGAAAGCTTTTAGACTTTTTTTTTGCAAATTGACTTTTTTATTATTTTTTTTTATCAATGACGTGTTTTAGATAAGTCATTTTATGTGATTTTACAAGGTTTAAAAGTTTTCAGTTATTTTTGCCGAACACTCATATATAAATAAAAGCTATAGTTTTCAGCTTCCAACTAGTTTTGCCGAACATGTTCTAGATGAAAAATAAGTCAATTGTTGAACAACTGTTAGAATCAAAGATTGACCGGTTAGTAAAAAATCTCTAATGAAAAAAGAAAACCAGAACTAAAAAAACCCTATCAACTATCATTAACAAGTCTCGAACCCAAGACTTTATGACCTCTTTTTTTTTTTTTTTTTCTCTGTTTGTTTTTGTTTTTTTCTACTTTTAGCAAAAGTATAATTACTAAATGTCAAAAAAATATTTACAAAAAGTAATAACGGGACACATTAGTTTTCATTTAGGTAATAAAATATCTATACTTTTTTTTGTATATTTAAGTTAAGTTTGACGTACTAGTTGAAAAGTTAACTGATAATTAAAAAGGTAACTGATAGTTAAAAAATTAGTTGTTATATGAAAAGTCAGTTGATAGCTAGAAAACTAACTAATAAAAAATAACGTTTGGTAAAAACTAGCTAAAAGATACAAAATACAAACATTTAAAAAAAAATGTTTTTCATAATTAATTACGAGTATATGATTTAAAAAAAATCATAAAAAGCTAGTGTAATTGACTTTATAAAAATATTGTTTATAAACTATTTTTTAGTTTATCAAACAGTTAAAAAAACTCGAAAAAAAAAAGAGTACTCCAAATATTTAAGTATTTAAGAAACACCACTATTTAACAAGCCACTACCGCGAGGGTTAGTGGCGTCATTCGAGATTTTGGTTCTTTTAATTAAGTTTAATATAACCAAATTATATTAAAAAAAATGGAATAAAAGATTAAAATAAAAACAAATATGAATTGTAACTTTCATGCGACCAAAACTTTGGAACAATTTTGTGTTTAAAGCGAGAATGTGTGGATGTTTTTGATACACCTAAAAATGAATTGACAGAAAATGTCGATGTGAAGAAAAGTAACCACTAACCACCACCAAACCTCCGCCGTCGTGGCCATGATAAAATCCATCGCCACCGCCTTACCAGACAAATAGACATGGAAATTTTTTGTCTTTGCATGAAATGAAACTCCAAATTATACAATTTCACATGTACACGACTCTGGAAATCTTCGGTTTTTTTTCAAAATTATTGGTTTATCCATAGCCGGTTGCTTACGTCTTCCACGTAGAATCATTTTAAAATGGGAAACGTAATAGAGAAGAAAACGATAGTACGGTTCGATGCTCGTTTGTCATCTTGCCATTAAAACCGATCTCCTAATTTCTGTTGGAACTTTAATTATTGCACTGCATCGCATCTGTTCGATAAAATGTCTGAACCACCGCCATTATGGCAATGTCCAGAACTAACCCAATCAATCAACATCAAACCGGGTATCCAAAAAACGCGAGTAGTTTATGAAAATCGGAGTCTGAGATCCCTACTTCAATAAAACAGAATCGTTTCCCTTTTCTTTCGTTCTCCCGCAAATTAAAATTAGCATGATCATATGGGCTTCACCTTTATGGAATTTCTGATCTTGTTTATTTGTAAACCACCCTATCTCCAAATTAAATCAACAAGAAACCTCTTAATTAGTTGGATAGTTGAATTGGGATTTTAGTTTGCTTTTATGAAATGGGTGGGAAGGAGTTTAAGAAGCCACTATTGAATAAGGTATATTATGAAAAATGCCCTGGGTGTAATGTGGATCAGTATAAAGAGCTGCATACCGGGTTACCAATAAAGGAAGTGGTATATATATGGATTGTGGTGCTCTGTGTTGGTAAGTGGTATATTATTGTGCATTTAGATTAAAAAAGTTAATGATTAGTATTTAGTAGTAATTTTTTAATGTTACTCAAAAGCTGCATGAAATCTTTGATTGCTAATTACAGTCTTTATTCATCTTAGATTATGTAGAAAGAAAAACTATCTCTAACACCTATTTCCATTTTTCCTTTACAGCACTGCCAATATCATCTCTCTTTCCATTTCTTTATTTCATGGTAAGTCTGTTCATCTCCATCTCCATCTCCATCTCTTGCAAAAGACTAAAATGCCCTTCTCGTCGTCATAATGATGATTTTTTATTTCTATTGTAGATAAAGGATTTTAACATTGCGGAGAAAGAGGAGGACATTAGTTACTATGCAGGTTTTGTTGGTAAGCAACTTTTCCCCATTATGTTTCATGAATCAATGGAACAAGGTGATACATTGAAAAAGACGTAAATGCCCTCCTCATTGTGTTTGTGAATGTTATGAAGGGTCTGCATATATGATTGGAAGGGCAATGACATCTGTCTTTTGGGGAGTGGTGGCTGATAGATATGGACGCAAACCAGTTATTCTTTTGGGCACATCAACAGTGTTAGTGACTTCTTCACTTAAATTGTTTTCATAATCCGTTTTTTTTTTTTTCTCATAGTTGTGGTTTTAATCTTTTCAGGGTTATTTTCAACACACTTTTTGGTTTTAGTGTAAATTATTGGATGGCTATTGCTACAAGGTTTCTTCTTGGATTTTTAAATGGGCTACTTGGACCAATAAAGGTATTCCTTAGTCCTTACCCTACAAGAAATTAATGGACTCACATATTTAGTATCTTAAAAATGTGTAAAGTTATGAAGTTTTTAATTTTAAACTTTCTGCGAATATACAGGCATATGCATGTGAACTTTTCCCTGAGGAACATCAAGCCTTGGGATTGTCAGCTGTAAGCAATTGTCCCCTTTTATTTTCTTTCTTTCTTAATACATAAAAAGATTCCAATTTCAAGTTGATATATTATCAGATACTTGTTATTGTTTTATTAGAATAATAAGCAACATGAATATTTCAAATAGTAGTGGTTTAATTTCATTTTTGTCCCCTCCCCTTCAAACATGATATATCTATGAATGGGTGAAACTTGCAAAATTCTTTTATTTATGATTTTATACAATATTTCCTTTTTAACAAATGAGTAATTTATTACAGATTAGTACATCATGGGGAATAGGACTCATCATTGGCCCAGCTTTGGGAGGTTACCTTGCACAGGTTTATATCTCTACTTGTATCTTGATATGATCTATGCCAATTGCATATAACATATAGCAAAATGATTGAAAGAAGGGTATAATATTTTTTGTTAATTCCTTTTATCTTTTTGTTTTTGGTTTAAATTAAGCCTGCAGAGAAATTTCCTGCTCTAGTATCTTCAGATTCACTATTTGGGAGGTGACTTACTTATTTCTTAATAATGATTTATTATTGTTATGTTTTCAAGTGGCAACAAATTACAACTTTGACTTGTGATGCAGATTTCCATACTTATTGCCTTGCCTTTGTATCTCCATTTTTGCACTTTTTGTGACCATTGCTGCATTTTGGCTTCCGGTATGCAATTTAAACTCTCTGTTTTTCTTGTACTTCCCAGTTTTTTTTTTCTTATTTGGACAATGTACTTTGAAAATGAAAAAAAGAAAAAGAAAATCTATCCGATTATAGCTGTGAAAATTGCTTTGTATCTAGATGATATTGCTATAACTTCGTAAATTTTTCAACATACAATATGCTTTAATAGGAAGAAATGAAAGTAAGATGCTATAATAAACAAATCAATAAAAGTTCATTGTTATTTCTTGCATTTAACTAATTTTCTCAAACTGTAGGAAACATTACATTTTCATAAAAAAGACGAGTTGGAGTCTGCTTCATATGATACTGAGGGAAAGACAAATGAAGGAAAAGATTCAAATTTAGGAAGCCTCCTGAAGAACTGGCCACTAATGTCTTCTATTATTGTCTATTGTGTTTTTTCACTTCATGACATGGCTTACTCAGAGGTAAGTTTACCTTCTTTTCTCTTTTACCCTAGGATTGATTTAGGGCTATTGTTTATTGATTTATATACAATTCTAGACCACAAAAAGAAAACTAAATCAGTCATAAGGTAACACAATCAAATCAAGAAACCCTAATATTAAATCATATGGTAACATGATCAAATCAAGAATCCCTAACATGGTGTTTTCTTTTATCTTTTTTTACAGATTTTCTCATTGTGGGCTGTGAGCCCTAAGAGTTTGGGGGGGTTGAATTATACTACTGAGGATGTTGGGACAGTTTTATCTGTTACAGGTAAGAATGTAAGAAATAACAATGTAGTTTCATTAATTTGTGTATAAATAATACACATCCCATTTCCATTTCTTTCTATTACAACGTTTTATTTTCAACCCTTTATTATAGCATTCCTATTACAACATTGTATTTTGAAAAATACACCGAAATATAGCAATATCATCAAAATAAAAGCAAACCTCACTGCTATAATAAGAAAATTATATATATGAAGTACAATGCTATATAATTCGGTAGATTTTCTAATATACAGTGACTTAATAAGAATAGAATTTAATGTACAATCTTTTAAGATAAAGAAATGGAAAGTATGATGCTACAAATACAATACAGTAATTTGTCTTGACACAAAGTATGATGCTATTTACAAAAATTCTTATTTTTGTAGGAGTTGGACTTCTTGTCTTCCAATTCACATTGTATCCAATTATGGAGAGGATATTTGGCCCCATAGTAGTAGCTCGCATTGCAGGAGTAAGCAATTTTTCTTTAATTTAGTTATTCTTTTACCATTTCTTTAACTTAATTATTCATTTTTGATGTAATTATTGAATTTGCACGAGAGAAAAAAAAAGGTTTTATATATGAATCTTGAAAAATGGGAGGTTTGTTTGATAAGTGGATTTGAATATGTTTTGTGTAGGTTGTGTCTATACCACTACTCACAAGTTATCCATTCATAGCCATGTTGACTGGATTTGCTCTCTCGTTGACTTTAAATTGTGCATCGATTATAAAGAATGTTTTATCTGTAAGTTTTTCAGGGACTAAATCTGTCTACTTCATTAATTTGCACGCTACTATTAGTTTATTACTTAATATAAGATAAGATTTGCACATATTTATGCAAAATGCTAGAAATGTTATAATTATTTTTATCATGATAATTTGGTTTCTTGTCATCAACAGGTATCCATCATAACAGGGACATTCATGCTGCAAAATAAAGCTGTGGTAATCTTCGCCTCCTTAATTCTATAGCTTTTTTCGTTTTAGGGTTAGATTCATAAAGTAACAATGCACTTTCATTGATTTATTTATGTATTACAAGTTTATAACATCCTAATTTCATTTTTTCTTATTAAAACGTTGTACTTTGAAAAATCTTACCCAATTATAGCATTGTCATCCAAATACAAAGCGATTTTCACTGCTATAATTGTGTAGATTTTTCTAAGCATAAGAAATGAAAAAAAAAAACTGAAAGTAGAGTGCTACTATTAGAATTTTTTTTTTCAAAGTTTACAATAAATTAATAAGGAAAAAAAGTTGAAAGTAGAATGTTGTAATAAAAAGAAACGAAAGTGTGTTGTTATTTCTTGCATTTAGCCCTTCTTTATATTTGATTGTTATTCATGTGTGTAAATTAACTTTTATATTTTATAAATTTACATCAATTATATAAATAAATAAATAGGATCAACGCCAAAGAGGTGCAGCGAATGGTATAGCCATGACTATGCAGTCAATTTGCAAAGCCATTGGTCCAGCTTGTGGAGGAGCACTGTGAGTACTATACTCATTTTTTATAGTGATTATGTTTTTTGATACTTTAAAAGAATCATTTTCCTGATACCACATCATACATCTGCCATTTAAACTATTATTCTTTTTATGTGATTATTATCATAAGAGTTGAGAGGCTAAATCAATAAAAAAAAAATAGTAGTTTATTGGCTAAAACAATTAAATTGTGAAAATATGTTGTGCTAATCTGTATTTTCCCCGGTTAAAATGTTTTCTTTAAGGGTCAAAAGAAGTATAATCATGTAACCACTATAGAAAATAATTAAGTAGCTAAATTGATAAAATGGTGAAAGTATAAGTACCCTTTTCTGTATTCTATGCTTCTAATATTAAATATATAAAGACTTGCAATAATATCAAAACTCAATTTATTTTATTTTGATTTTTTTTTTTTTTTTTTTTGTAGATTGTCGTGGTCCCAACAAAGAAAAAATGCAGCATTTCTTCCTGGTACGTGTTTTCCCTTGTATCGCATAAGCATTTGGTATGCATTGGACTGGACTGAGAAAAAAGTTAAATTTAATGGTTTGTTTATTTAATTTGCATTGCATTGCAGGTGACCAAATGATATTTTTCATCTTGAATATAATCGAAGCAATTGGAGTTATATTGACGTTTAAACCGTTTTTGATCACACACCATTACTAGTTGGTAGCATTCACATCTAGCTTCAACTCACATTGGGTAACCATTTATACATAGACTTTCAATAATGTCAATATCTATTGACTATTGTTGTAACTGTAAAAATGAGGCCTCTAGCTTGTATTGTATTGTATTGGGTTTTGGATGTAATTTATATAAGGGTTAGAATATGTTTCATGTATTATTATTAATAATTTGATTATTCTAGATAAGGAAGAGAAGGGTTTTTTTTTTTACAACTTTTTCTTTGCCATTTTTTTTATAACAAGTAATCCGATAATTTTAGTCTTTTTTTTTTTTTTATGTCAAACTGGGTCGATTTTATTGCTAAAATATTAAACTGGTAAAACCCCATGCTATAATAGTCAAAACAAGTATGTGTGGGTGTGAGTCCATCAAGTCGAGTGTAAACATTTTATTAGCGTTACAAATTAATGTACTAAATATGATAGTAAAAAACAGTATTTGAATGCATTTTGTATGACTTTCAACTTGTTTGGCCACCTGAGTAATTTGACCCATTTGTTTTTAACAAACTTTTTGAATTACTCATGCATAACCAATAGTTTTTATTCGTGGTGAACCATCGATCTTGCATAGTTCTATATAAGGGCTACCAAACAAGCTGCTTAACGAATTTAATATAACAAATTGGTCAAAAGATAAATAAATACCCATATTTTGCTGGCCTAAAAAAAACCATTCCTCAATTTCTAAGGCAAAATACAAACCAAAAAGGGGGGAAATTATAAATAGAATCAAGGAAAAACAAGTGATAAAACACAGTGAAACCCAAAACTTTCTTTTCATTCATCGGTGGATATGCTATATCCAAAAGAATTCTAGTCATTTGTTTTATAATAAGGAACATTTTTTACATCTTTAAGGGAGCCTTTTTCGTTTTTTCCCATGTGCCAAAATATGTTTGGATTGAATCAAAATGTAGCAAACAATAAAAGTTCAAGTGTTTGATAAATTATGTTATAATAATACATAGTACATACTACATACCACAACATATACAAAAAAAAGGGGGAATTGGATGATTTTGGGGTATTATGAAGAAGATCTGAGTTGTCGTAATCTTGATATTGTTAAATCCGGAGCACCAAAACTATCCAATATTGCATCTGCTGAAGGAAACTCAGCCCTTGATGTCAATCTGTAACAAAAAAAATACCTTCAAGAATGTTTAAAAGGGCCATGATAAATAACCTGTTGTCCATATTGACTTAGACAGAGAATATGACATTATAAACGAGATAAATACTCTATCAAAATTCTAAAAAAGTTAAACTATAAACTCAATAAAATCATACCTGCTGCGAAGAACAACACATGGCATGCCAATTTGCTCAGCTGCAGTCACCCCAGGAAGACTTCCAGCAACAAGAACACAATCAGGAACACCTACTTCTGCATATTCAGCTCCTGCTCTAAGTGCAGCCACAATTTTCTTTACACTGAATACGTGAAAATTTAGTTTTTATAAAAAAATCATAAATAGTTATAGACAACTAATTACAAAAAAAAACATACCTTTCACTTGAAGTTGTATCAATGTCAACACTCAATTTCAGAGCTGATGCAACCTCTTTAGCAATTTTTTGCTTCTCAATAGCAGCTGGACCAAAAAGCAAAGAGCTTCCTATTACAAATTGTCCTTTTGAAAAAACAATGAGGATTAGTAATAATAATAATAATAATAATAATAATATACCTGCTTTTCTTGCTTCACTAATTAATTTCTCATCCAAACTTGAAGAAACTCCTTTACCCAATACAAGCTGTCCATAAAAACTTTCCTCCACCTCAATCTTCCCAACAATTTTAATTTTTGACATCCTATCTTTGCCAAGCCTTTCGATAATTGGCCTGTGATTTTTGAAGGGTTAAATGCAAGAAATAGCAATGTACTTCTATTGATTAGTTTATTATATTTATATTTATAGCATATTGCTTTCATTTCTTCCTATTACAACATTGGAATTTGAAAAATCCACCCAATAAGAACAAAAATGGAAGTATAAGCACTTAGATTACTTTGCTATATTTTCACCACTTTTACTGTAGGCAGCTAGTACAACCACAGGAACACCTTCTTTATGTGCATCGTCAATAAAGCTGTAGAAGAAAGAAAGAAACAACATATTCAAGTTAAAATAAGAAATAAAGTACAGAAAATGAATGATGCAGTAAATAAGGACAAATATTATTTACAGAAAAGGATTGCACAACTCACTCTTCAGCACCAGGTCTCAAAGGCAAAGATTTTGACATCACAAGATCTTCCAATGCTTTTTGCTGTCAAAAGTCCCATTGTCTTGGCACATCAAAAACAACACCAAGAAGCAGTAATCATAATAATAATAATAATAAATTCAAATGATAATAGTTATGACAATAATGATGTTCTGCTCAAATGTTTGTGCAGAAATCTCATGTGAGTCACTCATAGACATGCACACATAATAACTGTAGTCCTCAATGTATGCAAAATGATTATTCATCCAAATGAAATGAATTTTTCAGCGATAAAAAGTTGGAAAAGAATAAAAAAGAAGACTTTATTTATATGAATCAGACCTTTTCTCGCAGAACACTTTTCATGAAACTTCCCTTCTCATTAGTGGGGAGTGAAGTAGGCCAACCTATCTGAGAAATGAATTAGCAATAGAAGAAAAAAAAAAGCCATAGAAAGATGATATATGTAATCCATATTTGCTAGCTTGATATGAAAAAAAAAAAAATCACCTTATTGAAGTACAAAGTTAGCATTTCCTCCTCACCACCAAAGCTCTTCCTACAAAGTAAATTGGTACGTCAGAATCTCCTAGAGCAAACACAATGTCAAAAAAGCATATCCATTTAAAATACAGAGAAAACAATCCCATCTGACCAAGTCAATACAGAAGTAGTTCAACTGAATGAAGTAAAAGGAAGAAAGAAAAGAGGAAGATCCAATCATGTGACAACAGATTATTTCCCAAACAATTGAAAGCATGATCTACAATGGCTGAGCCATCTGGTTTTGTAGTAACAGATGATAATCAAATAGATAAGCTTAAAAAAATCACACCTTACAAGATCTAAGTAGATTGGTTCTGTCCAATTTGCACAATCCAACCCCAATTTCTTAAATGCTGGATAAATTAGAGATGCAAAACGTCAATCTACATAAGTTAGAAACTTACAGAGCATTTATTAAACAAAAAGAAAGAAATTTGCAGGTCACCTAAATTGAAGGCTTCACGATTGCCCATGCGATATACATCCATGAGGACCCTGATAAATGGTAAAAGTTCATCAAAATGAAACAAGTTAATCAACTTTTTTTATAAATTAGCCTTACGATCGATGCAAAAATCTTAATTTTATGAGAAAAGTATGCTAACTATATTAGTTTTACAAGTGATACAAATAGAAAATTCTTACTAGTTTTAGCGTAACTGAATTTATTCATAACTCTGACCACATATAAGAAACGAAACATTGTGACTTCTTAAATTCTAAATTTTAGGAACTCTGTCCAGCTTGAAAACTGATGAAAACAAAAAATCTACACTTCATGAGAAATCTGGTAACTAATCGAAAACGGTACTTGGTAGATTGGATAACAAAAATCATAATCGATTTTGCATATGTGATTAAATACAGTATCCACATAGATTTTGCATCTCGAAGCCAACAAAAATCGAAGTTTAGTAACGAATTAGAGAAATTGATTACCCTTCAACTTCGAGAAGAACAGCCAGCTGTCTAGTTGAGTTGCTCGGATCATCAGAACCGCTGCCGGAGGAGGCATTTGCAGCATTAACCCTAGAATGCCACTGCTTGCTTTTGCGGCAACAATTATAGGAAGGAATGCGACCTGAAGTAACAAGACCTTGGGCAAAATTGCGGTTGTGTGACTTGACAATGATTTTGATATTTCTACCACTGCCGGAGCCGGAGCCGGCGCCGGGAATGACGGTTGAAACAAGAACCGTACGTAGAGGTGCGATTTCTATGGCCAGTAGCCGCATACTTTCGTATCTTTGCAGTTGCAGTTGCAGCATGTAGATTCTGTTTTCAATTCATATATACGGGCCATACGGCCAATGTACGAACCTATTTGGGCTCTTATGGGCCTAATTATCAAATAACCCAAACCATCGCGGGACACTTGAGCGTGAGGGTGGAAATTGGAATTGCGATGATAGAGTTTTATGATGTTTTATAGATTAAATTACACGAATGGTTCGTTTGTTTGCTTAGACAAAAGTTAAAACAATCAACCATTTTAAATCATAATATCAAAGAATCAATTTTATTCATATAATTTTATGGTAGACATAATTGTATAATGTTGATGATTTTAGTGTCATCAGAACATTTTGTGTAATTAGAACTTACATGTGAGGTACGAGTCTTCATAATTTGTACTATAATATATGTTTGCATGCATGTATAAAGTATGTGCGGAGTGCACGCATGTATAAGATCGAATTAGAAGCCGGTTCGGCGACAAGTCGGAGGTCCGGGGGCAGCGCCCCTTTGGTGGGGTCT